TGTGTGTGTGTGTGTGTGTGTGTGTGTGTGTGTGTGTGTGTGTGTGTGTGTGTGTGTGTGTGTGTGTGTGTGTGTGTTTTCTCAGAGCGAGAAAGTGAAGCTGACCTGTACAGACAGAATGCCAGCTTACCTGACTGCCGTGTTGATGATGGTCTTCATGGTGAGTCTCATTTTTTGAACATGCTTGTGGTTAGAAGATGTTCATGCTTTGTTCTATGACATAAAGTACGTCAGTAAATACTCCGCTTGTGAACGTCCGAAGCTTCTAAGTGACATCAAAACGGCGGTTGCTAACAAGTGACTAAAAGAGACTAAAAAACGTCATCATGCCAACACGAGTCCACCTTTAGCTTAGCATTAGTGACGTGCAGCCATGACACTGTGATGTAGTCTGTTTATAACCTAGCGTTAGCTTTTTACTTCTGGCGATTGCATTTATGCTTCAAAAATCACAACGTCGTGTGAATATGTGGAAATGATCCTGCTGAACAAAAGTTCAGTAACATACGAGAGATTCCCTTAAGCAGGTTTTTTGCTTCATTTGATTCATTCATGGTTAGCATGGCAGGATAACTCAACACAAAGGTCACTGCGTGTCCAACATGGATATGACACACACACCAAAGGAAGAGCTTTTCTTTTAATAATGCAACCACAACATAATTTCAAGCCAATACTAATTATTTGACAAAAGGCTCCAAAACGTAGCCAAACCCAGATTTGTCAGGACTCGTCAGGGTTGATTGCAGGAGGCTGTTGTGTAGCATAAGTTGTTGCTATGGACACAGGCACATTAAAGTATTACATCCAGGCTCAGGTGGGTAATAATGCATGTCAGAGCAGTCACCCTTATTATTTATATTGTTTGTGACTCCTGTAAACGGTTTAAACAAGTGTAGCCCTTTACTGTGCTTTGATTTAGTCAAATGATTATACATTTAAACCTTTCAATGCACTTCCTGCTTGTTGTTCAGATTCAAATAAATGCAATAGAAATGAAGGAGTGGTTGTTTAGAAATATCTACTTGAGAGTGAATCCAAAAGGGCTCTTCAATACTTCAGCAGAGTTCACATACCACCTTCCTCCCTGTGAATGTTTTGTCTCATTATCAGCAGATTGTTAGATTGTTTGTTCTCCTCCTCCTCCTCCTACTCCTCTCTTTAGATCCTCGTGACGTTTGCCATGGTCTTCGGGGTCATCCTGTACCGGATCAGCATTAAGGCAGCGCTGCACATGAGCACCTACTCCGCAGCACGGTCCAACATCAGAGCCACAGTCAAAACCACAGCCGCCATCATCAACCTCATCATCATCATCATCTTAGATGAAATCTACGCCGCCATCGCCCGCTGGCTCACCAAACTGGGTGAGGCACATTTCACTGTTAACCCATTTAAATCAAGATAATCTTCCTTTGTGTTTGACTACAGATTGACAAGTTAAGATGTTGGAGCTTGGCTGTTCAGAATGATGTCTGTGCAGTTTGTTTTCACATTTATCTGCTCTCTTTGAGCTTACTTTAAATCTTAGTTCAAAGCAAACCACTTTAACCAAATGTGTCTTATTGTGTCTGTAGATTGGAAATAAGGAAGGTTTCATGATGATATCCATTAGTTAAATGTTTAACCCTATTAACCAGTAGTGCCTCGCAAAACACATTTCTTTAAAGGTTATTTTTTCAAAATAAGCTTTCTCACACCAAAACGTTCCAGTTTCACTCAGTCTAAGAGGGGTTTTTCCAAATAAAACTCACAACCTGATTATAAAGCATTGTGTTACCTAAATAAAACAAAACTTGTATTCATGACTATTTGAAAGTGTTATCTGATTTAGCAAGTGAAATCTAAAATGTAAAAAATGTGACATCCAGGTAGGAAACCAATCAGTTACAGTGTTCAAACACAAATGAGGTTGCCTTTAATGTAAATGGTGCATATAAATTGCAATGTACATACACATGTAAAACACACTGTACGGCTCATGAAGGGAATTCCAACCGATCTAGAAAAGTAAACACAGCTTTTTCTTCGGAATCAAAGTTGCAGAGGCTTCAGTAACGCTAATGATGAATGGATTTGTCTGTGATATATTCAAACAATATTTGATCTATATTTCAGAGGTGCCAAAGACAGACAAGAGTTTTGAAGAGCGTCTCATCTTCAAAACCTTCATCCTGAAGTTTGTCAATGCATTCACGCCCATCGTCTATTTGGCCTTTTTCAGGGGCAGGTAAACAACGGCTATATTTTGTAAATTGTTATGTTGAATCATTTTTATTAAATTCCTAGTCATTACTTAAAAAATATTAATTCAATTGACCTATTTAATTGAGTTTGTTTGCATAACCACATTGTAAACCACCCGATGTCCACGTCTCGTCTTGTGTTTGGTTCACAGGCTTGTTGGGCGGCCTGGAAGCTACTTGTATGTTATTGGATCGTACAGAATGGAAGAGGTAAATACACGTGTTCAAAATGTATACATGTTCCTGTTGTCAAAGACTGTCCATGACAATAAAATGTGAAAGATGTTATATATGACACTGACCAGTTCCTTATTATATCACAAACATGTATTGATCTTTCCTCAATTTAGGTGGTGTTAAAGCTGTTTAACTTGCCTAAAGTCCATATTTTATTTATGTCAATAAATCAGACAGTCTCAAAATAACTGCTATAGTATTTTTTTTTAATCACTTTTTAACCTGCTTGGGGCATAACAGCGTAAGATTATAAGCCTAATATTCCTAAGGAAGAGATACATTTTCAACAATATATGCGCTGGATTATAATAGTATAGTTTTTAAGTGAGGTTACTAAAATAGTAGGAAATGGTTCACCTGTCCATGACCATTATAAGCACGCCTAGTGAGAATATTTTGCAACAGGAAAGTGTAGGTAGCATTGATTAAAAAGAAAAAACTCCAGTGTGTTTCATAGAAATAATTAGAACATTTGACGGACCATTTTGGACCACACTGTCCTGTTGTCCTGTTTGGACCACACTGTCCTGTTGTCCTGTTTGAACCGCACTGTCATTTTGTCCTGTTTGGACCACACTGGTCAAATTACCATGAGAACAGTCTGTTCTCGTGGTCACCAGTGTGGTCCAAAATGGCAAATGTTGTTATGGTTAAAGCCACATTCATGTGGGTGTAAAGTGTAGTGGTAGCTTGCCGGTAAGAGAGATAGCTGGCCCAGCTACATATATAAATGAATGGCTAGTTAGATAGGTAACTTCTTAGGGACTGTTGGACCAGCCACTATTGCATTGTTTTGCAATTATTGTGTAACCAATATAGATTCAATCATGCTGGAATCATCAAGCTAGCTAAGTCTGCCTTAGCGTTAATGCTAACATGATTAGAGAAAATTTGCCAACCAAAGTCGTCACTTATCCGCCGACAGAAATGTGCTTTCCCATGCGAGTTGTGTAGATGAAGAACAATACTTACATTTTTTATTAAATATGGCTCTCTTTGTGTAACGTTACCACTCAGCTGCTTGTTTAAGTTGTTACTGCAAAACCTCACTTATGTGAGTCCAAAACTTGCCACCAGTCAGTTTATATGGAAGTTACACTGTTTTGATTGTTTCAATGGTAACGGAACACATACAAATTACAACTGGCCTGACCAAGTTGTAATTTGTTGATTTGAATGTGAATCTCTGTTCTGCTCTCATTCCATTTCTAAGATAAGTTTGTGTGTTCATGGCAATAAGAGAACACCGAGTGACTTGGCTGTCTGTGGTCCGCTTCTCCTGACTGCACTTTGAACTCCCCACTGCCCCCCCCCCACTGTCCCTCCATGCTCTTTGCCTCCATCTGACCTCACTTCCTGAACCTTCTCTCTACAGTGTGCTCATGCAGGCTGCCTCATGGAGCTGTGCATCCAGCTGTGCATCACTATGCTGGGCAAGCAGCTCATCCAGAACAACCTGTTTGAGATTGGCATGCCGTGAGTACATGACTTCCACTGTGCAACATATATTTTCCCACAAAGCTAACACAGTTGAACAACATTTCCACACACAGCAGATCACAATGCGTCGGTTCAGCAAGCCCCAGAACAAATATCGCACTCCCACTCAGTTGTACTTTTGCCCGAGAGAAATCATTTAAAGGCCTGTCTGGTTTTCAGACGCACTTACCTGTGAACTAGACAGCATTATGCCGAACTCTCTCAGCCTTCAATGTTCTCTGTCTTGCTTCATCTGTACAGAACTCTGTAATGGGAGCCTTTTTTCCTTTTTGTTTGGTTCCCTTTCTTTATGACGTGTTACAACAAAAGCACAGTTCTCCACTGTGTCACATATATCATTTTTAAAACCTAAGTACATTCTGTCCATGAAAGAGTTCTGTATCAGCAAGGGGAAACCACATGCTCTTCTATTTTCTCTAATAGTCAAGGAGAAAATTACCTTTGTCTGGATTTATCATGAGAGCCTTGAGACTTTAAAACCATACTCCACAAACAAATGGTGTTGCCATGGTGATTACATCCATAACCAATTAACCACCAATAATCCAGGTGGCATGTTTCACGAAGATGAAAATGGATCAATTGGAGAAAAAAAACGTTGATATTGACAGTGTTGTAACAATTTATTTCACAACATTGAGTTATACAAAGAGGTATTTATTTGATTTTGTCCAGCCATATATATCAATAAGGGTAGGCAAAAATAAATGATTACCCAATGCAGCAACGTCACATTGTCAAGGAAACTTCATGTACAGTAGGGAGGTTTTTTTCCCTGTTGTATTAGACTGCATTAGTTTAGCATCCGTGTGAGTCCTTTTTATCAAAAGAAAATCCTGTAAAGATCAGACTCTGTTAACAATGTGTTGTTCCCATACTTGTATGTATGTACAGGAAGCTGAAGAAACTCCTACGGAGGAGGAAGTCAGAGTTGGACTCAAAGCAAGAGGAGGAGCTGAACAAAACCCTGCAGCGGCACGAGAAGGACCACATCCTGGGTCCCTTCGTCGGCCTCAGCCCCGAGTACATGGAGATGAGTGAGTCTGAACACAAGGCAGTTGAACACACATAACACAAATAACATGCACACTGATGCTCTGTTGGGATTGGTTATGTCTCCGCGCTGACAACTGCTGGTCCCGAGGCTACAGTGTATGTTTTCTGGTTGTCTGTCTGTCACGTGATATCTCATTATCACCTTCAGGGAATTCTTTAAAATAGGTCACAAAGGTTGAACTCAGGGATGAAATTATGGGATGTTGGTGGTAGAAGGAAAAGCTCACTGTGACTAACAAAACCTGTTTCTAGCCTACTGTAACTTATGAAATTCTAATTATTACATTTCACACAAATGTCTAATAAGATACCATTAAGAAGTGATAACTTTTTGGTCATTTGTAAAATACAACTTGACTGGTGGAGGCATACATCCACAAGGCGTTCATTCTAGTTTTTGAGGGTTTTCCTTTAGGTTTTTTATTTTGTTATTTGATGGTTCCTCAACATGAATTAGACACACCGACTGTCCTCAGGAGCAGTCTGTAGTTCGATCCTTGTTGATCTTGCTGTTCACCTCAGTGATGCATCATCCAGCTGACTAACAGCAGAGGTTCTCAGCCTCATCGCTGTCAGAGTGGTGCCCCCCACCCTGAATCAAGGACATCCCTGCTCTGTGTTAATACATGACATTTGAAGGTCAAATCTAACAAGCATAATGACTGCGAGCACTTTGAAACAAATACTTTTTCAGATTCTACATGTATGTGCAACAAACACATTCGGCCTTTAGTCCCGCTCCATGTGGGACACACATATATTGTCAGCACAATATGTTTGCTTTAAGAAACGAGTAGGCTTAGATATTCCATTGAGCTGTAATACAAGTAAATGTTCGCTTTAAAGTCAACTGTGTTGATTTCAATGGTATAAAGATATAATTTAGCAGCACACGGACAGTCAGTCAGTGATCTGGAAAACTTGGATTGATCATTGTGATTGATCATGTGTTTAATTAAGTCGTTTTAATTTGGCTCATGGAAACTGTGGTCATGTAATTGCTCTTTTTTAATCTAATTAAGCCGTTGATCCATAACTCCCAAGGAGGAAGAAGATCCATATCACTTAATGAAGGATGTCAGAAGCTTATCCCAATACAACTGAAAGAGGATTAAAACTGCTTCAAGCTCAATACTTCTACTTCTTGTGCCCTTTTTAGGATACTCAATTACACTTTACATCATTTCTAATTAGCAAATAACTGCTCTATGAGGCTGTACTTGATTCCTTTGAGCTAAATGTTGACAACATTTCATGGCAATCCATTACATTGTTGATGAGATTGTTCAGTCTGTACCAAAGTGGCAACCAACTGAAAACCTTATACTAAATAAACATTGAAAAAGAATAAGGGAATCTCAAAATGCATTCTATCACCTTAATGGATCTTTAGCCAAACCATTCTATGTGCTGTGCATTCACTTCAAATGTTCAGGACTAGTGTGGGCTATATTATTATGTCCTTTAATGAATGGCATGTTCAGTCAGTTCAGATGGGATTTCAGTCTGCGATGGAAGATGTGTACACTTTCAGCTGTCATGATAAACACTATATTCCTTTGAGTTCAATCTGTCCAACTCTGACAGCAGAAGATAATACTATAATATACAGGACTGTCTCAGAAAATTAGAATATTGTGATAAAGTTCTTTATTTTCTGTAATGCAATTAAAAAAACAAAAATGTCATACATTCTGGATTCATTACAAATCAACTGAAATATTGCAAGCCTTTTATTATTTTAATATTGCTGATTATGGCATACAGCTTAAGAAAACTCAAAAATCCTATCTCAAAAAATTAGAATAGTTCCTCAGACCAAGTAAAAAAAAAAGATTTATAACAGCAAAACACAATCAAACATTTGAAAATGTCCATTAATGCACTCAGTACTTGGTTGGGAATCCTTTTGCACGGATTGCACGGACTGCATCAATGCGGCGTGGCATGGAGGCAATCAGCCTGTGGCATTGCTGAGGTGTTATGGATGCCCAGGATGCTTCAATAGCGGCCTTTAGCTCATTAGCATTGTTGGGTCTGGTGTCTTTCAGCTTCTTCTTCACAATACCCCACATATTCTCTATGGGGTTCAGGTCAGGGGAATTTGCAGGCCAATCGAGGACAGTAATGCCATGGTCAGTACACCAGTTACTGGTGGTTTTGGCACTGTGGGCAGGTGCCAGATCATGCTGGAAAATGAATTCCTCATCTCCATAGAGCTTTTCAGCAGACGGAAGCATGTAGTGCTCTAAAATCTCTTGGTACACAGCTGCATTTACTCTGGGCTTGATGAAACACAGTGGACCAACACCAGCAGCTGACATGGCTCCCCAAACCATCGCTGACTGTGGGAACTTCACACTGGATTTCAAGCAACTTGGATCTGAGACTGCCTCTCCAGCCTTTCTCCAGACTCTGGCGCCTTGACTTCCAAATGAAATACAAAACTTGCTTTCGTCTGAAAAGAGGACTTTGGACCACTGTGCAACTGTCCAGTGCTTCTTTTCCTTAGCCCAAGTCAGACGCCTCTTCCGTTGTCTTGAGTTCAGAAGTGGCTTGACCATGGGAATACGGCTATTGTAGCCCATTTCCCGGACACGTCTGTGAACAGTGACTTTTGATACCTGGACTCCAGCTTCAGTCCACTGTCTTTGAAGCTCCCCCAAATTCTGGAAGCGACTCTTCTTCACAATGCTGTTAAGGCTGCGGTCATCTCTCTTGGTTGTGCAGCGTTTCCTGCCACATTTCCCCCTTCCAACAGACTTTTTGTGGATGTGCTTTGAAACTGCACTCTGTGAACAGCTTGCTCTTTGAGAAATTTCTTTTTGTGTCTTACCCTCCTGATGGAGGGTGTCAATGACGGTCCTCTGGACAGCAGTCAGATCAGCAGTCTTCCCCATACTTGTGATTTAGTTTACTGAACCAAGCTGAGTGTTTTTCAAGGCTCAGGAAACCCTTGCAGGTGTTTCGAGTTAATTAGACGATTCAAGTGATTCGTTGAACACCCTACTAGTATACTTTTTCATGATATTCTAATATTTAGAGATAGGATATTTGAGTTTTCTTAAGCTGTATGCCATAATCAGCAATATTAAAATAATAAAAGGCTTGCAATATTTCAGTTGATTTGTAATGAATCCAGAATGTATGACATTTTTGTTTTTTTAATTGCATTACAGAAAATAAAGAACTTTATCACAATATTCTAATTTTCTGAGACAGTCCTGTATATATATTTTTATAGAGCCCTTTTTAGGTAACATTCATTAAAACACAATTAAAACAACACTTCAAATATACAATAAAATAAGTGATAACACATGGCAAATAGAAGTTGAAATTAAGGTCACATCAAAATTAAAAGTAAGTTCTAGTTTTTTTTATCATTTGAAATCATAAATGTTGGCGAACCGGAGGTAACCCGGAGAAAACCAATGACTGAGATCACAGAAGGAAGTCCGGCGGAGTTAAACCTTACTCTCTTACAGTAAAGCCTCAAACAGCTCAGACTCCCCTCTGGTCAGCTCACAGGGACGTACATCCTGAAGACTCTTTGGAGTGTGAGGACCCCTGGGTGGTGTTGAAGCCTCTCTGGGTGCCTGGAGGGCTCCACAGGTCAGACAGCTCCTGCAGCCCCTGAAAGAGCTGAGAGACGAGCTCCAGGCTGGCTCCCTCCTTCTCCTCTACCATGGCACCATCGCCTTCCTTGGCGTTTTTCAGCTCTTGAACTTTGCGTCTCAGCTTCTCCCTCAGTTGGAGTGCGGCGTCTCTCTCTGCTGTGATGGCTTCGTTTTTGGCCAACACACCGTAATAGTTTCTGGACCTGCTGTGATTGAGAAGGACCTCGATGTTTTTGCGGAGAAAATAGTTCTCATCGCTTATTTTGTCCTTTTCCATGTCCAGCTCCTTACATTCCCTGTCCAAAGCGTTCCTCGCTCTGATCCTGGCATCCAGAAACTGATGTTGCTGCCTGAGAGCTTCATGCTCGCTGGAAATGGAATCCGCCTCAGCCTTGACCTGGTCACAACGGTTGGCCGGCAGGCGTTGGTGTCTCTCTGTCAGTTCTCGGACTCTGCGTTGGAGGATGTCAGTTTGTCTCAGCTTGGCCGGTTTTTCAGCTGTCATACGTGCACACTCGACCATTTTACTGTCTTCATCCGCAAGTGTTTGGGTTAGTTCCTGGACCCGTGTTTTCAGGGAAGTGTTGCGTTCGGTGACGCTAATGCACTCCTCCTGCAATTGTTTACGTTTGTCTTCCTGTTTTCTCCCACCTTTCTTGCGGATTTCCCTGAGTGTGGTCTGAATCTGCCTTTCCAGCGCATCGTTTTCCCGGCTCTTTGTGGTGTTTTCACGTTTTATTGTCTCAAATTCACTAAGCAGCCTTTCGTGGTCGGTGAATCTCCCGTTTATCTCCACGATTTCACTCTGCAGCAGCCAATTTTCCTGGAGGATTTTTTGCTTCTCCTCCTCAACAACCCTACATTTTTCCTGCAAAGCTGTTTGAGTCTGGAGTTTGATGCGGAATTCCTCCACTTGCCTTTCAAGATTTCTATTTAAATGTTTTGCTGCTTTCCTCTCTTTCTGTAGGTCTTTCAACTCCTTTTTAAAATCTTGACTGTTCACAAGCTGAGTGCTAAGCTCAATTATTTGCACACTCAAACCAGCATTCTGTTGGTTGATGGCTCCTGTCTCCATACTTAGAGACAAAACCTTGCGGGACAGACTATTTTGTCCCTCCAGGGTTTCACTTCCCTGGAGGGTGGTCTCATCCCTGCTGGACTCCTGAGACATTTTGTGTTCAGACTTCCTCTACTTTTTATACCACCGAATATAATATAGTAGAAACAGCAGTCTGATGTACGGGTTTTTTAAAGTAACGTACGGGTCTCCTGAGAAGATACTGTTACTGGTAAATGTGTGTATCTGAGTATGTCAGTCAGGGTATATTCAAAACTTCAAAGCCTAGAATTGTTACCATGACATCCTTGGAACTTCCTTTGTGCTGTCGTCATATTCCAAAAGCATTTAGCCCCACCCAGAATTAAGAAGCATGGAATGTGATGACATCATTACATCATAAGTATGTGCCTCTGATAAAAAAAAAGAATAAAATGGATGGCTTTGGTTATATTACATACATTGTGATATAGAGATTTTTATATTGATTTTAAAGGTATATTTGGGGGCTTTATTGGAGATATAGTGTGTGTGCTGTGTCATCCTTATACGATTAGTTGAAATAATATAATATGTACATTTTTGCAATAAAAGGTCTAAATCTACACCTAAATTATATACTTTGTTGAGATGTGTATTTACTTTATTCCAACTATTCATATAATTTTCAAGTACAGATAATTTGCCTGTAATGGCAACATATCCCTTTTTGAGAATGACTCAATGTAGCAATGTCTACCAGAAGCTGGGATAATATCATCTTACACCCTACTACACACTTTTTGTGTGTTTATTGATTTTACACATATATTTTAACTGATTAAAGGATTTTAGTAATTTAGCATCTGGATCTTAAGTGACCAATTTTCCTATATTAACAAAGTTTTTTTAATGTATTTATTTATTTAATTTATATATATATAATTTGTAGTATAGGGGCAATGGCACATCCAAGCATCTTTTGGACCTGACACATTCCACCCAAACTTAGTTGATACAGTTGAACAGTGTAGCGTTACAATACTACACTGTTAATGTCCAGTAATCCAGGTCAGTAGCAGAAGCGAGTGTGACAATTCAGTAACTCCTGCTCATGTCTCCCCTGTTCTGTGTCTTCAGTCATCCAGTTTGGGATGGTAACCCTTTTCGTGGCCTCCTTCCCTCTGGCTCCTCTCTTCGCTCTTCTGAATAACATCATTGAGATCCGCCTGGATGCCAAGAAGTTTGTCATGGAGCTGCGCAGGCCGATTGCAGCCAAGGCCAAAGACATTGGTAGGTGACCCCCTGATCTGCCCACCTATATCAACTTTATTTTATTGTAAAACAATCCAGGAGAATAGCCTGTGCAGGAGGAGACGAGAGGTTCAATCACAATAAAAAGGACATTTACATACATAAAGGCATGTCAATATTGATTTATAACCAAAATTATTAAGCAGTCTTAAAAATGAAGGTGTTAACATGTCACTGTGAAAGCAAATATTCTTAGACTACCCTTAAATGTGCCAGACATCCAGAACATTTTAAATAATAATAATAATAATAATAATAATGATAGTTACCTTTTATTTGTTAATTGTCTTAAAACAAAACAAACTGCTTAACTTAAACAAACAATCATTAACCAAGCATAAGTGATAAAATAAACCTCACAGATACATATTTTACTCAGACCATCAATAGGAAATGAGAATCCAAACCTGCAGTTTGGTCCTGGTCACCTGCAACAACACAAAACATAGGGAAGTTTGACCAACTCTGTACTGGGGCCATCTAGTGGTGGCTGGTAGTAACTGATTACAATAATAATGTAATTTACACCTGGAATGACTACTTTTTTGATAATGTCAAAAAAATATTAAAATCCTGGAAAAGGGCATATTGTCTGTTTGCACAATAGCAGGAACATTAATAAGAGGGGGTTCTGGGGTCTCCCTCAGGAACACTCGGTTTCCTTCATTCTAATTAGTGTAAAACAAAACAATTCAGGTGCCAGGAAGTTAAAATCTAAAAAATAATCTGGTAAAACTCATTAAGGCTCTCAAGAATTCTGGGTCGCTTTGAAATATGTATATTACAGCTGGTGAGTCAGCGTTCCTCTCTATTTTTGTTTATTTTGTTTGGGGAAGTACCCTCTTTAAAGGTGGGGTAGGTAATTCAGATACACTTGTTGTGATATTCCATGGAATGCTCTTAACATCCCGATAGCAATGAATATCTTAAATGCTTTGACAATAAATACATACAAAAATGTCATCTGTGGAAGCCGTAGTACTGTAGAAAGCACGACCAATCATTTTAGCCGGCCCGGCTAAAATAACTGGATGGCCTACCTGCCTGTCAGCCTTCCATCTGTGCACAAACTTATCTCATGGCCTCATTGGTCATGTGCGTGTTCGTGTGTGTTGGAGGAGGGGCTCTGTAAGGAAGTCTGAAGGAAGGGGCAGATTTTTTTCGGCTGCGTACTTTCAAGTTATAGCGCACTCGTGCTGGTTTCTCCATTCTTACCTACCCTACCTTTAAATGTACATAAAGTAATTTAAAATTAATTAATTAATCACTCATTTAAAAGCCTCTGAACTTTGAATGCTCATATAGATTTCAGCAAGATTTCTGCTCATGTTCAAAACTTTCTGTACATTTTTCAACATTTCTGTTTACTCTGGGAAAACACAAATGAATGTGGAATAGTTCAAAAATAAATTGTAATATTATGGTATAAAGTCTTATTTTATAGAGAATTCATTCATAATAATCCAACAAATCTACCAACCCTTAAGATTAATGTGCATTATGCATTATCACACAAATAACAAACAAAGAATAAAAACATTTTATAACTTACATGAAACACCAAATAACTAGATGTCTTAGTTATTTTACTAAGACATCTAAAAGCCAACATCAACATATAAATACCAGCACATTCTCTCAGGGTTTACCTACCATTATAATGCTTAGGTTATGCACCCATTAGGTCACAAATGCACCTAGCTAAATGAATATAAAATCAACGGGCAGAGCATCAATGTTAAATACATATCTTTTACCAGATACAATGGTTGTAGTTGTTCCTGAGTGGACTTCTTCTGCAGGTTTTGTCTTTAGGCTATTTGAGTGTTTATTCATTGTCTGCTCTAGCTTTACCAAACTCTTGAACAAACATAATTGTAGCAATACTAAAATGATCAGAAATAGCATTTTTTTTATTCAGTAGTGTTGAATTGTAGGGAAACCCTTAAACACCCTTCATGCACTGAGGCTTCCAAACAGCTTAATTCATTAAAATTAATAATAACAAAAATAAGTAGTTAAATGTATGAGTTGCTTCAATTCCATTTAGTTGCAGCATGGGATGTCAGTATAAGCTCAGCTGGAAGCATGTTCCAATAGGATGAGGGAGTTAGGGTAAGTGTAAATGTAAAAGCAGATTAAACAAAGGCATTAGGCCTAATGGGATGTGTAAGTCTGAGTGTAGAGCAGATGAAGAGGTTCTGCAAATATGCTTAGTAACATTGTCAGAACTATTGAATACCAATTGACCTTCTGAAAAAACCTGAGGAGGCCAGTCTGCAGGAGCTGAAGCCCCCTTTAAGGTCTGTGTGTGCATGTCCGAGTCGAAGCTCCTGTTTCCCAGCTTAATGGCAGACCTTCTGTCTTTCTGCAGGCATCTGGTACAACCTCTTGAGAGGCCTCAGCAAGGTAGCAGTCATCGTAAATGTAAGTCCTTTACCTTTACCGTCACTGCACTGTTGTACTTCAAAAAACATGTCTGAAGAATAAAAATGTCAGATTATGGAGATTTTCTTCCTCTGTAATTCAAAATAACAAAGACAAATTAAGGGAATGCGCTGATTAGCAGTTCTCTGTCCCCAGGCCTTTGTCATCTCCTTCACCTCGGACTTCATCCCTAGGCTGGTGTACCAGTACATGTACAGCCTGGACGGCACCATGCACGGCTTCGTCAACCACACCCTGTCTTACTTCAACGTCAGCGACTTCCAGCCCGGCACAGCCCCTCTCCAGCCAATGCACCTGGGCTACAAAGTAGAAATATGCAGGTAACATTTAACTTTATATCCAGGAGCACTTCACCAAAAGTGATATATTTAAAGGAGATTTATTGGACACATTTGAACGTTCATTCAGGTATTTTTCACACGTATTGATATTTAAAAAACACATTATTTATCTCACACGGTCTGCCTGAATATATATCTATATTCACCCTTGGTTTGAAATGCTCCGTTTTGGTGCCTGTTTCTTTAAAGGTCCCATGTCATGGCCATTTCTACTGCACATTCTACTGATTATTGTTCAATGTTCCAAACTCACATTGGTTTCTCATACAGCATCTCTGTATAGTATGTGTATTCACTCTCTGTCCTAAACGGCTTGTTGGAGCTCCTCTCCCCCCCTCCCTGTGAGCCCAGTGGCCGTCTGCGAGACAGCGAGACACAGCGAAACCCAGCCCGAAACCAGCCCGAGCTCACACACGCCCAGCCTCGCCGCGTCCCGCGGTCTCAGGCGTCCTAAAGGTTCCCTATTATACTCTTTTTCAACAATATATTACAGGTCTCAGATATGTACAGAACATGTCTCTGAAGTGTTTGACTGAAACACCAAACAGATCATTGTAGCATCCCATAAACCCCTCTGTTTCAGCCCTGTTCTAAAAGTGCTGATTCAGTGTCTGTAACTTTAAATGCTAATGAGCTGCTGCGGGCTAAGCCCCACTGAGATGATTGGTTACTCTAGGAGGAGATCCAGGTGATAAGGTGGGCGGGGGTTACCTTGGTTGGTTATAATGGTTGCATAACCCAAAGAACATTGTGACATCACAAAGTGGCCAAAATCTGATCAGCTAATTTTCAGACAGGTTTCCATATAGATGGATCAGGACAAAAAGACAGAGAATATTTTCCTAATCTCTTATCACAGAGGGAAACATATTTATTGATGAAAGACATGAAAAAGTGGATTTTGCAATAGGTGACCTTTTTAAAAAGCGCTACCAGCCGGATCTACAGTTATTTTCCCTCCTCCATTCACACGACGGAGTCAAGATCAGACATCTCTGAGCAGCCTGGAAGGGGGGATTGAGGAAAGCTTAAGGGAGGATGACCTTTGGGGCCCATGGATGTGAAAGATCGCCGGAACATCCTGGGAATTTTGTACTTGAACTTGCCATTTTGGCTTCATGTACAACTTAGCACATTTTGTGTGACATTACAGCTCTATTGGTGTCCTGATGGTTCATAATTCAAAATTCATCAAAATTCAAACAATACTAAAACTCCTCCCATTCTCAGGAGGACATTTTAAAAGTCTTATTCTCATGGCTTGACCTCCTAAACAAGAACTGTTGTACAGTAAAACCATGTACTGTTAAACAGCATCGTCATCTGTATTTCTGTACTTTGTACTATTGATGATCTCCATTTCTTTAAGGGGAATAGGTTAGATTGACAAGCATCAAATGAAACATGTAAATTGCATTTCTTAATAAAGATGTTTTCTGTGTCCAGGTATAAGGACTACAGAGAGCCTCCCTCCTCCAGCTCACAGTATGAACTCTCCAAAGAGTTCTGGGCGGTTCTGGCCGCTCGCCTCGCCTTCGTTGTTGTCTTTCAGGTTTGGAACAACACACAGATATTAATATCACACACATCATATGCTTTGAAATGCTTTCACACAGTCACTTAGTTTAACCATTCAAATTTGATGCATTTGAAAGCAAACGTGCAAACAACTCATCCATATTTGATGAGATGTGTGAGTGAGTGATGTAACTGAGGGATTCTCTGCAGACTTTAATGTGAAAGGTCTTTAAAGGGAACAGGCTGTCTGCTTCCCTTCAACATTTATTTTAGTTTATTA